AAAATATCGAAAAATATACAGCGCGCGAATTTTAAATGAGAATTTCCGAAAACTTTTCGGTCTTAATGTACTGTACTGTTAGTTTTGTGTATATAAATGTCTTACAACAAAAAAATAAGAACTTTCTTTACTCTAAATGTAGTACCTCAAAAGATTCTGCTCAAAAAGTACTCAGATTTTGTAAATAAATCACACAAATTTAAATTTTATTCAAAATTTATCTTATCTTCTTCAAAATATGCTCCTATTGAAGCGATACACATATGCCAACGCTTAACCCAATCTTCCATATACTTTTCGTAGGCCCGTGAACGTATGCTTTTAGTTCCTTCAGCGAATTCTCTTTTACCGATTCAATCGACTCAAAACACTTACCACGAAGGAGCGATTTGAGTTTCGGGAACAGGAAAAAGTCACACGGATTCAGATCTGGCGAATATGGTGCCTGAACGATGACAGTGGTGCCGTGTTTGGTCAAAACATCGCGTACAACAAGAAAAAATCGCTAACTGCACTTGAAGTAGTCTCACATTAACAGCTGTTGTAAACAAACTAATTAACAGATGGCGCTCAAATTTGAACCATATGTCACCATATGCTTTGTTTGTACCATATGTTTTTCACAATTTTTGAAAAAGGTCGATTACACAAGAAGTAGTTAACAAACAACAAAATCCGCATACTTTTTGAGCAGAAGGTATGTGTGCTTTTCTTAGATTCATTGAATCCGAAATGAAATTCGTTACTAAAAATTTTTTTCTATGTCATAAGGGATCAGTTTTAGAGCATTCTGAAGTACAATCCACAAATTGTCAAGTAATAATGATCACATATCACAAGTCAACTGAACAGTATACGCAAAAAAACATAACCCTATGAAAAGAGTTTCCTAAATGAGGTATAGGGGTGTATCAGGACTTTCATAGTCCAAGTTTGTAGAAGAATATTTAATTGACAAATGTGGATTCTAGGTTAAGTATATATTTTTACTAAATGTTATTACTGAACTAACATAAGTATTAATTACTTTAAATATTTGATTATTAAAATATTAAAGGATGAAAAATACTTGCCCTATGTTGATCTTTGAGTAGGACTTCACTACCGTAACTATAATTAATGTGAATATATGCAGATATGTACGTGAATATATTAATGGTATTGTGTGAAATTAACATTTAAAAGAAAAATCAGCTTATCTACTATGATACTTTTAAAAAATTAATAAATAACACAGTCAACAAGTCTATTTTATAATGATTTTTCGACATTAGTCCTTGTAAATCACGAAGGTCTTGTGTTAACTGTTGCAATAATTTGCTACATAGTTTGAACAGTTCCGCTGCAACAAATCACTTGGAACAAGGCTTACACGCCTATTTCGCCATTTTCGAACAATAGAGAATGTCTGAACAGTTGAACAAGCGAAACGAAATGGAACGAAATCAACTGAATTAATTGTGAATTTGTATGGATCACATGGAATGCAAATAAATTTCGCATACACAACAGCACCACAGGCTCTTGAGGTGGCAACCACGCAGGGACTTACTAAATGTGGGCGCATGCATTCTCTACAAGTCATCAAACAGAGTGGGTGAGTCAGTTAAAGAGAATGGGTATATATGCGAACATACCCATCTATGTGGTGTACACATTATATACAGTTGCCAAGTGACCAGCTTTGTATTACAGCTGTTGAAGGTGACCCAGCAGCAGCAGCAGCAGTAGCAGTAGCAATACACAATATTGCTGCACCATATATGCTATTATGTTACCTGGACCATTTCATCAAACTGCGCTCTATTGTTGTGTAATTTGTTTCGGATGAAGGGAGCACGGGTACGAACGATTCAGTGAATGCAGTTTGATTTTTCTTTTCATGACTCAGGGTGCAATTACCAGCAAGTGTAACAGGTGATCAATTGTAATAAAACTCCCAGGGTTCTTTTCCTATTCATTAGGTATTTTCTTTTTTATTTAAACATTTCCATTTTAAAACGTTCATTGTACTTTTTATCCATTCTCTGTACTAAAACATTTATAGTTGGCAACAATTTATTGGTTTTATTTGCGCAAAACGCTTCACATCGATTAGAATTACAATCAATTGTATTTCAATGGAACATAAGTTTCAATTGTCAGTCGATGGCGAACAAGTGTTACCGAAGCTCAAATATACAAGTACTACAAAATATGACAAGAGAAAAGTATTAACTAGCATGAGTCCAATGCAGTAATTTTAGGAGAGAAAAATTATTATTCTAGAGTAATACTAAAAACTTTCATCACAATGAATTTAGAGATTAAATGTGAGGGAATAAATAATAAAAAATAAAATTCTCATTCTAAATCAATTGACTCCATAGTACCATATTTACAGAACTAAAAAAAAATAAACTAATACCTATGCGATCTATTGGTAATGAAACTAAAAACATATAGGCTTCTAAAGTGAGCTAATAATTATACATGATTTTCAAAAAGCTATTTCTTGTGCAAAAGAGCTTTCACTCATACAAAATCAATTGGGAGAGTAAATACGAAATCGATTACTCATTGGATAAGAGGAAGCATATAAGATAAAAGCTTTACCGTAACAAAAGAACTTTCTCTCATACAAAATCAATTGTGAGAGTAAATACGAAATCGATTACGCATTGGATAAGAGGAAGCATATAAGATAAAATCTTTACCGTAACAAAAGAGCTTTCTCTCATATAAATCAATTCGGAGAGTAAGTACGAAATCGATCACTCATTGAATAAGGGAAAGCACATAAGATAAAAGTTTTACCGTAACAAAAGGAAAAGAGAAAAAAATAAGAAACACCATAACATCTAATATAATTGGTCGTGTGTTGCTTATATTACTTATTGTTTTCTTCATTTTATAATATATAATAATATCTATAAAAGTCTTTAAATTCCTAAGAGTATGACTCTTATTTTTTAATTTTTTTTTTCTCAATCAAACGAACAGTTTGAAGTTATAGTTATAATCCATCAAAAGCAAGACACGGAATTTGCTTATATACTGATTATTTTTTAATTTTAAGAAGAGAAATTAAAAAAGCTTTATTTGGTGTTGAAGAATTTTCTAATACCTGAGGTTAATCATTTTTACTAGTGATTGAGGTAGGGGTGCAAGGTGAATGCATTAAAGCAGAGTGCACAATATTGTCAACTTGAAAGTGAACAGTGTTTTTTCTAATAAATGCCTCCAAAAAATAATTAACTTTAAAAAACACTAAGTCGCTAAGAATTATTTTTCTTAGCTCTTTACTAGATGTTATCCGGGTTATCATTACTGATGACAATTTAAATATATTCTTCGGTTTCTTTGTCCTTTTATATCGGGTGTTTTTTTAGCTGTATGAGAACTATCGGTATCAAAACTACGGTTTGACAACTAAGAATCGATTCAAAATCATCCACAAATTGACTGTTCGGTGCGGTTTACACACTAGCTGCACCTTATCGGACCTTATTTTTTTCGAAATGCGGAAGGAGCTGCCGTTACGCTGAATGAGGAATGGCAAGCGACTGTAGTTTTATTTCCAAAAATTATATTAAATCAGTTAAACATCGACGAAATTTGTTTCCAACAAAATGGAGCAACTTGCCATACAGCATGCTTAACAATCGATTTATTGTAAAATCAATTTGGTTTTATATTGAGGTTTTTCCGAGTTATCGCAACTGAGCACTTTTACTTTTTGTTAGCTAGGCTAGAGTCCCTTCTTTCTCTTCGAATAATTTATCAGTTCCTCACAAGTTTCGCGGATTATTCGATGACTGATCTAAGATCTACATTTGGTCCCGTACGGCTAGTGACTGCTCAGAGATTAGATAGTGCTGTCTAGGGTAGACTGTCAGTTTTCGTCTATTCTAAGGTGTCTTAGCATATCAATCGTGCGAACGTAGCATGATATTTTGAAGAGTCTTTGGAGAGCCTGAATTTGATTAAATTGTGTCTTCTGGGTTTAATTTAGTATCAAATTTATTTCCAGAAGTCATCCTGTTAACCCCCTCATTTATGCGATTTAACGCCTTTCGATTACTTTTTATGGGACTATGTTGAATCATCATTAGGTAAAGTTTATGCCGACAAACCGGCAACCTTGATGCATACGAAGCCAATGTTTATGCCACCATTGACGTCATATAGCATTGACGTCATTTATTGCAAAATATAGTCACAAATTGTATTGTTCAAATAGATCATGTAAATCGTAACCGCGTCAGATGTATACCAGAAATCATATTCAAAAAATATTATACCAGATTTTTTTTTTTAATTTATTTTCTTTTATTGCGATCTGTCACTTGAGAGTAGACAATAAAAAATATTTAAAAGTAAGTAACTAAATACTTAAAATTTTTGTGGGCTTGAATGAACTGTGCTCAGTAGCACATCCGTTCATTGAACTCGGTCACCGATTAAAGTATTGGAACATAATTCTCAGGCAGAATTTTTGTTAATTTTTTAATGAGTCCATCGTCAGCTTTACCTATATCTAAGTATATTGCAATTGTAAATTGTTTCTTTTCAAAACCCATTGCAATTTTGTTAATTACACGACGTATTTGCTGGTTAGTTGAGAACTTTCAAATATTTAATTGCATATTTTTGATAAAAGCAATATTTTAAGCTACTTCATTAAAAAAGAAAATTCTTTCATAAATATATAATAGCTCTAGTTCTTTCTGATTAATATCGTACAGCAATATAAAATATTTACATTTTGAAACCAACTTCTTTAGTAAATACTAGAGTTTGGAATTATTATTTTTTTTTGAATGTAATGAAAATGTCAATCAGTAATCAACACATCAAAAACAAAATTATCTCAAAATTTTTCCTGTAAAATTATTCAGAAATTTATTAACACCTTTTGGAAAACACTTTGCGTTTTGGAAAACTCACGCATACTAATTACGAATTGAAAATGTACGCACTGCATTAAATCCTTTAAAATCCAACAGCTCACAAACGCAACACACAAACAGTGTAAATAGGAGAGCCGCGCCACCCCTTTTCAAAACAAACCATAGCAAAATAAATGTAACCAACAGAACATAAAAACAACAGCTACATTTTAAGAATGCTAATAATGGGCGGAGTGAATGCGCGTGTAGGTGTGAGTGTAGGTGTGAGTGTGGGCGACAGTAAATTCAAATACACTAATGTGTCATGTTAAATTAACACTTTAATTTATTCCGCGCTACAAGTGCAAAGAGCATATTTAATGATTTTGTGCTTGGCTGTTTAACTGTGAGTGCGTACGTACAATTACACAAGTAACACTGCGTTTGTGTGTGTGTTTGTGTGTGCAATGGAGTTTATATAAATTTGTATTTGTGCTGAATTCGCTAGATATTTATGTGGTGTTGTTTGTGCAGAGGTGTTATAGGTTAATTGTGAGCCATTTTAATACAAGCGTCTTTTCACGTCTTTTCAATTGCAACGTTTTAAACTCAAACAGAATTTTTAAATGTGATTTTATAAGTGTAAACAACTTATTTTTTCATTACTTAAGCAATTATAATTATTTTAACTTCATAATTATATAACGTAATATAAACATTAATTATATTAAAAACTTTGTTTTACTTATTTAACTCTCTCTATTTTACACAGGAATGTTCACACAAAAGTAATACCGAAATTTTATAATAATAATTGATTAGCGAGCTAATTGTTCAATATAAATAGAAATAAAAAAACTATAATTTATCAAAAATTTATAATTTATAATTTAAATTTATCAATTTATCAATATCAATAATGAAAAAACTAAGGCTCTGTTTATAACGCGTAAGCAGAGACAGAATCCGTCGTGAGTGAGAGTGGGTGTTATGGTAATAAACTGGGAGAATAGAGTTAAATATCTCAGTAGGTTAGGTTAGGTTAGGTTACTGGGGCCGTCCGAACACTCACTTAGACCATGAGGTCCATTGTGATACCCTAAAGAATTTGACACCTATCCCTATAACCACTTGGTATTGCCTACAAAGCCATTGACACGAGCTATGCAAATAGAATCTAGCTCTCTTAGTGAATAGAAAAAGTGCGACCCTAAGTAGGATAGTCTCTGTCTTGCGAAGGCAGGACACTGTAGCAGAAGGTGTGTTGGTGATTCCTCTTCATCATCCTCCATGCAATGCCTACAATGTAAGGAGGTCCTATAGTTGAGCCTGACGGCATGTCCTCCCAACGAGCAACGGGCAGTGTCCCGTAATAATTCCCACTATCCTGAATAAATTTGCTCGGGATAGGTTGATTAATTCCCCCGAACTTTTCTTACTTATTTTTGCCCAAAATTCCTTGGTTTTTATGCAGTTGGTTACTGTTGACCATCTTCTTTCAAACATTTGGTATGTCCATAATCTTATTCGGTGCCGACAAGAAGCAACTGGTATACCCACACTTTCTTTTTCCAGAAGAATTTGTGCTGTCGTACCATGTTGACATAAATCCTCTGCCTAACCCTCCCCGTTGGTGTCGACTGGTAATAGAGAGTATCAGAGAGTATCTCAGTATCACACTGGAAAATCGATTCATATGGCTTAAATATGTTCAACTGAAAAGAATTAGCTGTGCCAAAATTCTTCATAACCTCCAACCGCTATTCAGAAATGAACATCTCAGTGCTAAGAACAGGAAACTGATATATAACCAAATAATTCGTCCATCACTTCTATATGGTTGTAAAGCTTCAAACACTACTATTCGCGAGCTAGTAATTGCACAAAGTACCATGGTACATTAGAACGAATGACATTCTCAGGGATCTAAAGATTGATCCCATCAAAAAATACATAAAGGATGGAGCCCTGAAATTATTTGCAAAAACTGACAAACTTACCAACACCATGTTATCAAATCTCTGAATGGTTACAGGCTTCTCGGGAAGGTATGCAGATCTGAGGTGAATTATTGCTTAGTGTGATGAAGTAATAAACAATAAACCAGTCAAGATGTAGAGAGGGGTTTTGAAGAAACCTCGAGTTAAGAAAAAGTAAAAGTGCTCAAGTGCACTGGCTCAAATAGCTTCAGCATAAATAAATTATTTATACTTAAAAATAATTATTAATATTATTAAAATATTTTTCCAACATTTCGGCTATCTTCGTTAGTCATCTTCAAAGAAATATTATTATTACAAAGAAAAATCATACAATAAATCGAATAATAATAATGACAACAAGAAAAACAACAAAAGAAAAAGAGAATAAAAATTATAAAATGCATTTACAATATCCTGTATCATTTGTTTATAATATTCCTATAAGCGCCTGAGCACAGTTGTCCGTATCCATTTTATAATTTAGTCTCTTACTATTTGGAATTTTAAGTATTGAAAGCATTTCCAGAAAGTATTTTATTACATACTTTTTACCCGTGTTTAAAAAAACGTGTTTTAGATGATTGCAATTGTAGTTAATTAATCTTCCTGACGCTGAAGGCTTTTTGTACCATTGGAAGTGACTGTCATTCTTTTCTTCTTCTATTGTGAATTTTAAATTTGTGTGAAATGAATTGAAAATTTATTATTGCGAAGATATCATCTACGTACTTCGTCAATATTCTTGGTATATATGTCGTCCATACATTTATGTAGTAACTCTTCCTTCACGATATCACCTATAATATCAGCCTCTACGTTGTTTATAAATTTTGTTATCAAGATTTCAAAAAATTTTAAATATATGTTTTGCTGAATTTAATGATCTTTATTTACAAACTTTTTGTCTTCAAGAAATATTACTTACTTCGAACAATGATAACTATAGGGTTAAATGTCAATAGAAACTAAAAATACTTATACCTTAAAGTATGCAATAAATATTTTATTTTTAATAAACAATATGAATTGTTATACAAAATAGACCAAATAAACTATAACTTTTTAGAACACTTTTTTATCTTTGAATTTTAATCAACCAATAATAATATGTATTTAAAGTTACTTCATTCATTTCGAATTTTCGATATAGACGCCTTTAGATCGAACGACAAGCCTGAATTTAACAGAACAGAATAATATAGTATTATTCGAGATAACACTGTCAATCATATTGTTATCTTTAAAGATTGTAACCATAACCACTAGG